TGCTGAACCCAAATCTTCATTTTGAAGTTTTGGCTTTTAATTTACTTGTCCTAATTAGCACCTAAATCCTTATTAATCCTCTCCCTTATATCTGATTATGACTATCAAATTTAAGCGGTGAAATCTTAGAAAACCATGCAAATAATACCTAACAAGCAAAGGATATGCTAAAGAATCCAAAAGACGACCAAATCAACCCACGTAAGTTCAGTTGCTAAGCAAATATCTTGAACACAAATTACAGATCACAGATCAACACAGTAAGTAAAATAGCAACTTGAAACCAAGTGTGCAAAGACAAAACAAACACAGACCGGAAACCCAAATCCTCAACTCCAAGTCACTTTGGATCAAAGAAAGCTCAGTACCATTCCGGCGACGACAATCAGCGAAAGCGAGTGGGAGACGGTCAGCTTCATCATCGTGTCGCGGCTCCAGGACGTCTCGCAGCGACGATCGGCGGCGGTGGCGGCAGCCTCCTCGGAGTTGGCGTCTAAAGCCGAATCGATGCATTGCTGCGGAGAAGCCGAAAACGAAATTAGGATTTGTAAGCGAAAATGAATGAATCAAAAGAAGAATACTTAGATCGGGAATTCTGCGGTTGAGATTTACCTTCGAGATTGTGCTGGCCACACCGCCGAGGTGCGAGGCTTTGGCGTCGGAGCCAGATGAGAAACGAAGGTGGAAGCTAACAATTTCCAGGCCAAAGTTCAGCTCCACTTAGCGAGGAGCCATGGCGGAGATGACAAGCAGGAGTAGCCACAGTTTGAGCGCCAACATCGTCGTCTAGAGAGAGAGTCGTGGAAAGTGGAAGTTTTGGGAGGGAAGATGGAAAAGCGGCAAATTAGCAAAGAACGGGAGGACGAGCTAGGGCTATTCTTGTCATTTTAAGGAAATAAGAAGAAAAGATCGCACGTAAAAATAAAAAATATATATAAAAAGAGGAGGGGGAGATTACAAACTACGGGTTTTGTTAAATTTAAAATAAAAAAAAAATTAAGAAGAGGTAATATTGTTTTCTTGAGGACAGTGATATATACTTTTCATTACCATGATATGTCTTGAAGTTATAAAATGTAATAGACATTCACATATATGAAATTTGAAATAAAAAAGTTATTTTTCAAATATTTCGTTTACCTTACAGCTAAATTCAACCAAATTACTATTGATTGAAGGGGAAAAAAACAAGCTGTCTTTATGAAAGTAATTGTTGAATATACGTTTGCAACTGTGTTAGGAACCCGAAAATTTATGCTTTATTAACAACACTAAAAATAAAAAATTACAAGATAGATGGACAGTTTCGAGGACCCCTGACCTCTAAAATAGTACACAACACTAGACACTCTACAAATCTCATCCTACCCCCTAGCAACTAAAACCCTCTATTTATACTCTCCTTAAGACTATTGAAAAAGACTTCTAAATATTAAGTTCCTAACATTAACCCCGCCCCAAAAAATCACCTTGTCCTCAAGGTGAAAATCAAGAAATAAAATTGAAAAATAACATATAAATGATTGAGAACAAAAGGCTTTGTTAGTTCATCAATTTGAGTCCCCAAATTGATGTTGTCCTTGTAAGACACGTCTTCAAATTGGAGCCAATCAATTACTTTATTCTTCATCTTCTTTGTATCTTGGAAAGTAGCCACAAAGTCCACCAATTCAGTTGGAGTCCCCTGATCAAGCTTATCAATGATCATAAAAGCTTTTGACAATTCCATCATTAACAAAGAAGTTTTCTTCTCAGCTAACTAGGTCTTCGTCCTTTCAGCCTCTCTGTCACCAATTGCTTCATACCCAGCTACAGACTTACTATACCCAATCCTAAATGTGTTGGAATTTTGAGGCCCAACCACCATTGCACCAAAACTAGGCCCAATATTGTTGTAATTACGAGGTCCAACCCTAACCATGCCAAAATCGACCTAGCTCACTCCTGAATCACGAGACCCAAGTCCACACTTTTGGGAACACATCCCCTAAATCGCTAACGGTGGCCCCAATAGTTCCAGAATTCCAAAACCATGCCTTACCTTCGCTGGAATCAGCCCTAACCTCACCGGAAACAACCTCAACAGCGTCAGAATCATGAGACCCGCTCCAAATTTGGCCGGAATTTTTGAAAACAACACCAATCTCACCGGGATCAACCTTAATGGAGTTGGAATTGCGGGACTCCACTACAATCCTGCCGAAAACTGCCTCTGCAGCATCGGAATCAACCCCTTTCACGCCGGAATCGTGAGGCCATATCCAAACAACAGCCAAATCGTCAAGCCCAGCCTCTGTCGCACCGGAATCTGTCTCCGTAGCACCGAAACCAACCCCTTTCACGTCGGAATCGCGAGGCCCGGTCCAAACCGGTCTGAAATCAGCCCCAACCGCGACCGAATCAGGGCTGGGTTCCCTGTTCCGAGGGTACCTATGTCGTCCTAGCCTCGGAGCAAGCCTCTCCTCCTCTAACTCCAGCTCCCACTCCACTGCCTGTCGCCGACCAAGCTCCGCCGCCCTCTCTCGACAGTCGCAACCTCTTTCTGCCCTCCTCCTGTCATCGAACAAACCCTCACGCTGCAGATCCGGACCTCCCAGCCCCAGATCGCGACAATTGCTGCGCTCCTCCATGAGACCCACATCTCTCCGGCGTCAGAACTCCCTCTCCGGCCTCGATCTTCACGAATCGGTGCTTCCCGGCGAAGATCCGCCTGATTTGGCATCTCTACTCCGCCTGGGTCGATGCGATCTGGGCTCTCCTCGCCCCGAGGCGCGCGTTCTCGCCTCTCCCCGTCTCGTCGTTCGCCGTAGCGACCCAACTCGGCCTCCCCGGCCATCGGCCGCGCCGCCAACAGTGCCTCCATCCTCCACAACGCCGCCTGCAAGTCACCCATCTGGGTTCGAATCTTCCCCACTTGGTCCCGAGTTCCCACATACTCCCTCCAGAAACCTTGTGATTAGCTCTTAGAGAAGCCCTAAGTTTCTCTCTCAACTCAAAGAGCTCCGTGGATTGTAGATGCTCTGATACCATTGTTAAGAACCCAAAAACCAACAGTGCCTCCATCCTCCACAACGCCGCCTGCAAGTCACCCATCTGGGTTCGAATCTTCCCCACTTGGTCCCGAGTTCCCACATACTCCCTCCAGAAACCTTGTGATTAGCTCTTAGAGAAGCCCTAAGTTTCTCTCTCAACTCAAAGAGCTCCGTGGATTGTAGATGCTCTGATACCATTGTTAAGAACCCAAAAATCTATGCTTTATTAACAACACTAAAAATGAAAAATTACAAAATAGATAGACGGTTTCGAGGACCCCTGACCTTTAAAATAGTGCACAACACTAGACACTCTACAAATCTCATCCTGCTCTCCTAGCAACTAAACCCCCTTATTTATACTCTCCTTAAAGACTATTGAAAAAGACTTCTAAGTATTAGATTCCTAACAAACTGCTTATAATTACAAGTCTTGCAAGAAAAGGGGCAGTTATTTTTTCTTTCTTTTTTACTGAATAAAGATTGTCTCTGTAGTAAGCAACAGAATAAAAATGTAAATGGTCAGAAAAATACTTCAAAAAAGGAAATGTAAAGAATAAAAGAAAAAAGAATTGAACATTTTTCATTAAAGCTTTCAAATTCAAGTTTGGCCTAATAAAATATTTTATGGCTATCTTAATGGAGTAGGAAAGGAATAACCCTCGGTATAATAATAACATATAAAACTTCCAACCAAAAAGAAGGTTAACATATAACCCATGAGTCGCAATTTCCTAAACAGGTGCCTATAAATTACAAAAAACCTTTCAAAACAATTCTTTTCAGTGTCCTGAAAAATCAGAATACAAGGTAGAGAACTCAAAAGGCATGCTTTGTGTCTCAGCGCTGCTTATTTCCTTACATGGAACACCTCCAACCAAAGAAAATGTAAACATGAAAATAACGTTATCAGATTGAGATCCCCAAGGACTTTTTGAACTTTTCAACCTCCAAATATACTGTGGAGTACGGGAGGAACTCTGAGAAATGTTCTTTGCTCAGATCATTTATCGCGACAGCAAGTTTCGGGATCTCCAAGGTTTCTTCATGGGAAAGGGCTCGGACAAACCGTGCCGGATTTCCAGCCCAAAGTTCACCAGTAGGAATTCGCCTCCCTGGCGGAACCACAGATCCTGCCTCCAGGATCGAGTGGGTCTCTACCAACGAACCTTCCATGAGAATGGAATGCTGTCCGATAATGCACTCAGGCTCAATTGTGCAGGACCTCAAAAGACAGTATGCACCAATTGTTACAAACCTCTCAATGGATGTCTCCGCAGGCAGACCTGAAATTCAAAAGATGTTGCAACAAATGTAAACTGTTAGCCAAGTCCAGGAAAACATCAGCCAAACTTCAAGTGGTAAAACACAAAATAAACGAAGAGAAGCTGTATATTTGGAGATATTGTAGAGTAAATTAAATCAAAGGCTGTTTATAGAGAAGAATTCCATCACAACCATTTGCAAAAGGCATTAGCATTAGATATCAACGTATAAGTATCATTGTCACAAAAAGTTGGAAACTAAAATATAAACTGATTTAGGCCGTTAATGGATTCGCTGAAGAAGATGTCTAGGATAGGCATCAGGAAATATATACTAAATATCAATTGTGTGGTTTGCTTGGAACGTTGTTCATGGGTTGAAACCTCTTGAACCCATTAACCAAACTAGGCATAAGTAATCATAGGTCCGATTCTTGGGGAAAGAGAATAAGAGGAGATATATGAACCCCTTGGGATGTGTTTACAGCAATTCTGAAAAGTAACAATATGCTAGTCTCAGTGTTAAATTTCAGGGAAGATACGATGCACGCATGACACAACCACCATTAAAATCAGCGTTAAATTACAGGGAAGATACGATGCACGCATGACACAACCACCATTAAAACTATCTACAGTGATGTGGATGCGGTGAAGTTAGCATTTAGCAGAATGTCGATTACTTGATGCTTACTCATACAGAGAAAGAATTCCAACAATTAAATTCACATGCAAGGCTTAACCTATTGGAGTCCATACGCATTCATTTTTTTTGTATCAACAAAAATTAGTAGACAAATATTTAGGGTCATACAAAATATCAATTATGACCCAAACACGGTAGAACATTTCTACATTAGATGAAACATAAGAAAAAAGAAATTTCTAGTCAATGCCGCAGCAACGCATAGAAAGAAGCCTTAGTACAATAAAGGATACTGCCAAATGACACTCATTGATCTTACGGAAGCTCATCAACAAAATCCAAGTTAGAAACTGTAGCTAGGTCCTATTTGATATAAGCAAAACGACTATTTAAAATGCTCTTCCAGTCTTCCTTTTGATAATAAGCAGAATTTTGAGATAAAAAATGAAAAATTGGTCCAGCCATTTTCTTGAACAAGATTATACACGGCAAAAATTTAGGCTTGTTAACTAAGTTAATTGCTCGCAAAAAAGGAAAAGAAAAACAATTGGGACCTGGTGAAATCAGTATTTAAGCCACTCTCACAGCTCTATTTCTCATTGCTTGCTATGTGAGCTGATTAGCTCCATTACTCTCTCATAAGCAATCTCATCAATCTCTCATTGGGAGACTGTCTTTTAGCTCCTAAATACACAAAATTCCACCTTTTTCTATGTTTTCCCCCTTCTTTCTCACATCAGTTACACACAGGAAAATATGAATTCCACTAAAATCAAACAGGAGAAATATGAATTCCAAGCTGACAATCCAAACTCCTTATGAAAATCAGTACTAAAAAATTAGCACCAATGAACGAATTTTTCACTCCCAACCAAAATCCTAAAACTTCACCAAGAACTCCAAAGCAACCTTTTTCATATCCACATTTCACCGCATAATTAGAAAAAGAAGAGAATCAACACGAAATTCGAAACCCTAAGCGATCAAGAGAAATGGAATTGGCGAATCAGTAACCTGTCGGCGAAGACCAAGCGGCGTGAATGACGCATCGCTCCTGAACGTTGGAGCAGAATCCGACAGTGATCTTGTTGAGATCGCCGCGGAGGACCGAGCCGGCCCAGACGGAGGAGCCGTCGCAGACGGTAACCTGGCCGGCCAAGACGACGTTCGGAGCGACGTAGGCGTCGACGGCGACCTTCGGAAGCCACTGCCCCAGCGGAATGATCTTCCTCTGACCTCGGTAGTCCCATTTCACCCGATCCTCCGACGGCTTTATGGACTTCGCCGCCTCCGACGGCCTTATGGACTTTGCAGCCTCCGCCCAAATCGCGCGCTGGAGAAGGCTCTGCTGCGCCGAGGCCGTGCAGGAGGTTAGGGCTTTCCTCGAGATTCGAGCTAGAGCTGCCATCGCTGAGAGTAAGAAGAAGAAGAAGAAAGAAGAAGAAAGAGAGCTGGTTTGTGGGAGTTCGGCTTCAATGGACAGTGGAAATCTGCAAAGTGGGAGAGATTGGGCCGTAATAATTCAGCCCATATCGTGCTTGCTGCTTTTTGGGCCTAGTACATATGCATACTTTTTTTTTTTTTTCTTTCGGAAGAAGAAAGAGAAAAATAGACTAAGACTTAAGATGAATTAAAATTAATAGGTTAATAATTTACATAAGTTAATAAATAGGTTAAATTACTGTTTTTATCTATAACTTGTGTAGTTATAAACTATAACTTGATAAGTTATTATCCATAATTCACGGTTTTTATCCATAACTTGTCTGACTATGAATCATAACTTGATAAGTTTGTCCATAACTTATCTGGTTATGAACCATAACTTGACAAGTTATGGCCTATTAATTTCTATAACTAAAAATTGACATGTATACTTTTTTAAACTTTTCATATTAACATATTTTTTACTATTTCCGTTTTTTTTTTGGTGGAGGGATAGTACCCATGTAGATTTTGATATCAAAGTTTAAATTTAGGAAAAATTTTAAAATACTACCAAAATAACAAAATTTTATGTCATTATTAATAATGACTACATTATTATATTATTAATAATAAAATATGATATCATTAATGACTATATTATTATAAAATTTATAATAAAATATGATATCATTATGATAATTAAAATATAATTTTTATTATATTTATAATATTTTAAAAATTTTATTAAATCTCGACTCAAGTTTTATTGTAATTATTACTATCGTAATTTCACTACTTTACTTTAAAAAAAAAAATTACTAAATTTACCCTTAAGTCATGTTTGATAAGCCGGACCAAGTCAAATTATAGAACTAGGATTAGCTTGGATTGATTGAATAAGATTATGTCGAATTCTATTAGGTTTTTGGTACATTTCCGGACTGGACTAAACTAAATAAAATTATAAAATTATCTAAAAATAATTTAATTAAGCTAATTATCAAATTATGTGAATACATAATAAACTCTATACATTTCAAAAAATAAAAAAATAAAAAAACTCTATACTAAGGTATGAGTTGTTTTTTTTTTTTTTTTAAACAAAATTAAAAACATAAAGAGAAAAAGTAAATAAGAACTCATTAAAAAAGAAAAGAAAAATTTTTTGAAGTGGAGGGCAATAGCCACCCTGTGCTTAGATCTGGCAAGGAAGAGATCATTGAAGAAGAGATGGACAAAACGATCTGCGATGAACGAAAAGGACGGCTGGTGGAGGAGAGGCTTGGAGGGTGGCAGCTTGGCGAGATCTAGGTCACCGTCTCTGGGGAATAGTGAAGCAAAGCTCTGTCGCCATTACGGGGGAGAGGAAAAGCTCAACCTTTGCAGGGGAAGTGGAGCTCAATCGTCGTCGCAGGAATGACACCTTGATCACCGTCTTGAGGGAAACGGAGCAGGTCGCCGTCGTCATCGTGGGGAGGAAAGGGGGCTGGAAGTTGTCAACGTTGACGTCACCGTCGTGAAGCTCATCGTCGCTGGAGTGAAGTGTGCCAACCTCTAGGCATCAATTTTAGGTTGGGTGGGGTGAAGATTTGTTTTCCTAGTTGCAGGACTATAATAGGGTATTTAGTACGAGAATTCGTGTCATTTGAATTATGTTTTGTAATTTGATATAATATTTTCTTTTATAAAAATATACGTAAATTAAAAATAATTTTGAATCATAATTCTGAATTCGTGAATAAAAGTCTACTAAATCTCATATGTTTTGTGAGGATTAATAATCACCCTTTTGTTGGACTATTTTTTGGTCAATTGTCATGTTATCCGGTCAATAGTTGTGACCAAACGTGGGAATAACGATTATTTATCCTTATCCTAGTCTGAAACCAACGTAACAAACAGGACTTTAGAGTATACTTTTTATTCTTAATTAATATTTTTTATTAATATAATTATATGATTAAAAAAATATTAATTAAAAATAATGAGTGAAAATTCACATCCATCAACTCTAAAAGGTATTTGTATCATTTTTTTTTTCTTTCGCTGCTATTTTCACTGCTTATTATTCAACAATACCACATTCTTCTATTTCCTTGAAACATATAATTCTTAATAGGAAAATACATCTTTACCCTTTAATTTAAACAATATTGCAATTTCGCAAAATAAATTGTACGTGGGAGTTGTGTAAGCATCAGCTTGAGGTCGAAAAGTTAGTGCGCCGCTTTTGGTCGTGTGGCCACTCAAGAAATGTTGCGGCCCTCAAGATAGTGCAATCGGTATTGTCATCTAAGGGGACTCCTTTTCTTGGTAGTTGTGAGGCTCTTTCGGAGGTAGCGGGTAGCCTCTAATTTTGGTTAGGCGTGTTTTTTAGACTCTGTTTTCTTCAGAGTCTCAAGTCCCGTTCATTTCGTTGATTCGAATTTAAAATTTAAATTTTGTTACAGTAAAAAGTTTTCAGAAATAATTATATATAACTTTTTTGCTATAGTAAAAAATACTCACATAAAATCACATCTTAACTCGAATTAAAAATTCTTATCAACGAACTAAACGGGCCCTGACACATCTTAACTCGAATTAAAAATTCGAATCAACGAACTAAACGGGCCCTGGATTACCTAATTGTTTTTGTTCTTGACTTTGTGCTCTTTTTATGAAGTTTCTTTGCAAAAGAAATTAAAAAAAAAACGAAAAAAAAGTTTAAACAGACCCAACGCTTCCCTTTTTGTCTTACGAATTTCTCGAACCAAACCCACAACAACAAAAAAATAAAAAACAAACAAATGAAATAAACTCTGTTTTATATTCATATATTTTGACTATTGAGTATTGACAATTGATTTCTTAATTTCACAATATAAAGGTTCCTCATATTATGATTTAGAGCTTCTTGATTACGTACAAACAGGGAGCTCTGTGTTTGGTTCTAGATTTTGTAACTTCTCTTAACAAAGTGATACTTATACTTTTTGGTGTCGTGTGACACCGTAACGGATTACTGTTCACTTATCACCGAGTGAGGTTTTTCTACGTGATGACATTAAAAAAAGCTCATATGCAAAATATTTTTTCAATTATAATGTTAACCATTTAATAATTAAAATTATAAATATATATTATTTTAAAGTCTAATATAAATGGTATTCAAAATAAAACATTTAAGGTTAAGAAGTGAAGGTGAAATGTGAGCAATAATGTCTTGCATAGAGTAGTCCAGATAAGAGATCTTCATTTCTTTTCAATATGAACTCTTGCAAGTTTAGTTATTTGAAGTTTTTACAAATTGTAAAAATAAAATAAATATTTTTTGAAATTCAATAATAACACAATTATGTGTACAAATTGGTGGTAAAATGTGCATTTATCCTTGGTTCGTTGTACCTTATGTAAGATCTTGTGTGTATTTTTAGTTAGGGTAGTCGGTTGATTTTTTTTTCTTTAACAACCAACTCTGACATGCTTTTTAAATTTTCTTAGTATGCTCTGTGCTTATTTTTAATAGAGGACTCTACATATCAAAAAGTTTAAGCCTAAAATTTTAGTACAAGTCCTTGGCGTTTATGATTTTTGGAGCTCCCGGCCAGAACCTCCCATTCCAAAAGAAAAAAAAATGAATATTTATGCAACCTCCAAATATAATTTCAAACGAGCCCTTATATATACTTTCTAATAGCATGATTTAGCTGTAAAATAAAGAAATATTTTTGGTAATATTTGTCACTATACTTCTGATAGTTGAAGAGTCTATGGAATCATGTTTTTAGTCTAATGGACCAAATTGTTCGGGGGGGGGATTACCCTTCTCAACACTTCACAACATAACTCTTCAATAAATGATTTTGAATTCATCCGGTTGAATAGGTAAGTAAATTTCACGTCCTTCGTACCCCTCGTCTCCCCTAAAAGCAGCACCCTTGTCATCGGAATATTTATCTTGCCCTAATAAAATGAAAAGAAAAAACATTTAAAACATCCGTTGTGTTCAGTCAATTCATGTAATAAATATATCGTGTTCCATTGACATATTATGATATGTTTGATAAATGAATTGTATTCAGATGATGCATTTTGACACAGTTAATAAATGAGTCGATACGAACAATCTATGAACACTAATTACTACCACTAATTAATTGAATCCTAGGCCGTCTCAAGCTTGTTATGAGGACGTCTAAAGATTCTAATCCTTTCTTTTTTAAGCCATGATATGTTCTAACCGTATAAAAAAATATATTTTACTTAATCGTGACTTTATAATAAAATATTCATAAAATTTTTAAAGGGTATTTATTAGAAAATACATATTTATTGAAAGGAGGTTAATCAAAAATATACAAGGACTTAATTACCAATATAAACTCAGACATCTTAGGATTATCCACAAAAAAATGTTTAAAATTCAATAATTAAATCACATCTTCTTAACTAAGCTATGAAAGCCACTATGCGGGATGTGACAAACCCACCCCATTTAAGGTGGGTTCATATGGCTAATGAGTGCACCCGTAAAATTGTCATCTTTATGGGAATGAACTTAGTTTCATTTTTTTTAAAAGAAAATTTGCATTTCATTAAAACATTAATAAACAGTTGTTTTGGTACAATATTAACCCATTAAAGAGACAAACACACGTTTGAGGCGCGAAACTGGGAAAGCACCTCAGCACATCAACAACGAGCGGACTAAAAGTTTGACTGGATAAAACCCATCTCTTCAACATAAGTTGTCGAGTACTGGAGAGATAGATCGTCAAAACCCACAAAAAAAAAGACATCTACACAACATAGATAAAATTATAGCCAGACTAAAACCACCGTATCGGCATTAAGCCGAACACCTAAATCTAACAAAAAATAACAAACCATATGAAGGTCGAGTGGGGAAACCACCAACCTTATTATAAACACAAAAGTTACAAAAAGAAAAAAAACCTCCGACCACCACCGGTAGAAACCTCCGGTGAAGGGCATCTGGCCAAAAGACCATCGAGAAGACAGTAAGAGAAGAGATCTCAGTCACTAAGCGACAAA